AATGTTTATGCCTCAGTTGCATTTATGCCACAGTTGTAAGTTTAGCTTCCTGTCCAGGGATTGTACTGCCCGGGACGTGCAGTCCTTGGGAAGGGGGCAGTGTTACGAATTTGGTATTTAAAAAGCTAATGTTAGTTCAATTATAAATTAAATGGTTTTATTTCTCGCGCAGTGCAGCGCGTGACGAATATTAAAAGAAAGCTAAGCCGGAAAATTGAAAATACAAGAGCGCGTGCATTAAATAAATAAATATCTCTTTTTGATTTCGAGAAAGTACTGGAAAATTCTAGCGCGTGATTTTAAAATCTTATAAAAGGAGGAAAAAACATCTCAGTTTGTAGTAGTTGCTTAGTTTGTTGTTGTTTAGAAAACTGCTGTTGTTGATTGTAGCGAATTCGCGGATTAGCGTTCTTTAGCTGTTTTGAATTACGTTCTATTGGACATTTGAGTAGTTAAAAGATAAACTACTGTGAGATATTGTAATACTGCATGATAATTTGAGAAAATTTAAGCATTTTTGTTGTGATAATAATAAATTTTTGTTCATTTTTCATCGGACTTGTGCATTCATTTCATAACGAACCCGTACGCACGAACAATATATATATCCACTCTTACCGCCATGATCTCGTTTCTTTACTCTTAGATGTTTGTAATTGTACATTTTTTGCCTTAAAAATGATTGAATTATGTTGTTTTTATGCCTTTAGTAAATCTGGGTGCAATATTTTTAGAATTATCAGCAGTTTTAAAGTTGTTTAATTGCCGCTAAGCCTGTTTTTAATGGCGACCATTGATGTTTACATTTGAAACAGGAGACTAGTGGATTTGTTGCCAATCTAGAGAAACTTAGCTTCGCAACAACAAAAATAACGCCTTCATTTATTATTGCCAGTTAAATCATGCTTAATTCTTTCTGGAATTTTTTCGAGGAAATAAGCGTTTGAGATTTACATCGTAATTTTTAATATAGATATTTTGAGTTTTTATGCATTTTTGCCTTCTCGCGAAGTGAGAACTGAATTAATTAAATGAGAAATACTCAATCGTCTGTGAAAAACTGTTTCTTTTTTGCTTTGTTTGCTTAATTTCTTTTATACATAGTTCTAGCTTTATTATAGTATTTGAATAGAACATGTGGCAACGATTAGATAATTGTTTAAATGATATACATTTTGTGCATTCTGAGTTATAATATGAACGAAATATAATACTGTTAATTAAACCTAGCGCCAGAGTGTCGCTATGGTAAACAAAGTTAATTTTAAAGAATGCATTTATTCTGTTGTGGTTTATGCGCTGTCGGCGAAGTAGGTTTAATTCAATCTAATAAGTTTAAATAAAATGCAAGAAAAAATGCGTATAATTTAATATTCCGTACAAGGAAGTCATGTGGTGTACACATCAGATTTTTTATTTCGGGCGCCAGTGTAGAGACATTAAGTTCTTTCGAAACAGGAGAGATGAAAAATGATCAACGCCCTTCGTCGGGAATGGAACCACGGACCTTTGGAATACACGCCCGGTGTGTTGACCATTACACTACGAAGGCATGCTAAGAAGGCGGGAGAAATACCTTATAAACTGAGTCAAATAATGCGAAAATAATGTATTTTAATTTTGCCATTATCGGTCAAGATGTAGAGACTGAGGGAATAATATAAAAATGTTTTAGGAAGACTACGGAATTTTGTTAAAGGTGCTCGAAATCCAACCTATCTTACTCACTAATTCTACTAGAACACATTATGCTGAAAAAATATTACACTGTATTATCACTTCAGAATTATTTTAAGTAAAGTTTGAATTAAAAAAAAAAAGTAAGGTACTTGAGCAATCAGCAGTTATTTATTCATTTAATTTAATAATGCGTTATTTATATACTTATTTAATTCTCTCAGTTAAGACCAATTAGATTAATACTTGAAATTTGTGCATTATTTGCTTTTTCATAATATATTTATAATTAACTTTGCTTATTAATTTGTAATTATAAAAGAAAGTGATCATCTAATGTAAAAATACACCGACTACCAATAAGTATTTGGACACCTGTGATAGAAAAGAAAAACTAACTTTATTCAAAATCAGTAGTTGGTAGAGCATCTACGAGAAGTAATTACAGCGTGAACCCTCCGGGGTATACTGTCCACAAGTCTTTATATGACAGCTAGTGGTATTTTCTTCCACTCGGTTTGGAGAAGACATAGAAGTTCCTTCACCGATTTTGCACGGGTAGTGCACCCCTGAAGTCGGCGATGCAACTTGTCCCAGAGGTTCACGATAGGGTTCAGGTTGGACTCTGGGCAGGCCAGTCCATTCGATGAACTCCATTGACACCATACCAAGCCTTGGTTAACGTCGAAACATGACAACTGGCATTGTCGTTCTGAAAGTAACAGGGGTCCAACCCGTAAAACTGCCACAACGTAGGAAGCACATTGTCATCCAAAATAGTGCAGTAGGCATCGGAGTTGAACTTACCATGAATGGGGACCAAGGGTCCATACCAGGAGAAACACCCCCAGACCATAATTCCACCTTCGCCGAACTTGACTGTTGGCACAATGCAATCTGGCAGGAGACGTTCTCTAGGTAGATGCCAGACCCAGACCCAGCCATCCGAACGGTAAAGGGTGAACCTTGATTCGTCACTCCAAAGAACCCGTTTCCACTGATCTACGGTCCAATTTCGATGTGCTTTGCACCACATTAACCGAGCAGCGCGGTTGGACTTTGTGATCAAAGGCTTATGGGCAGCAGCACGACCATGAAAACCACAAGCAGATGTGCTTCCTTACGGATGGTATTCATTGAAACAATACTTCCGGATGCCTGTTGAAACTCCTTGCGGATGTGGGCCATCGGTTGGGTGCGGTTCTTCCGAATTTCTCTGGACAGCACTCGTCGGTCTATCTCCCAGTTTCGTTGATCTGCCGACTCGGGGCACGTTCATACAATCACCGCTCACCTTCCACTTCTTAATCACATAGGCCACTGTCGATTTTGGGTACTTCAGATCGCTAGATATGTCCCTTAAGGATCGGCTACATTTGTGATACCCGATAATTATACCTTTCTCGAATCAGAGAGCTCTGAACTGCGAGGCATCTTGCATGCGACTAAAGCCGATGCTGTTTCCTACACGATATATACCAGTGGAGTCCGTGACGTACCTTAGGACCGCAGATATTGTCATTTGCATAGGTGTCCAAATACTTATTGGTAGTCAGTGTATAAGAGGGAATTGAGAAATGACCAACGGCTTTGATAGTTCCAAGTCATAACTATTCATCTCTAGACTAGAATCTATTTCTTATGCAAACAATAAGATCTATCTTATCGCTCACGTTAGTTAGAAAATAAATTAATTTACCGCCATCCATGAATTTAAAATTTTAAATAATCAAAAGTATGCGCTACATTAGCTTTGAAAACGCAGAACGTATTCATAAAATTGTAGAGTAATTAGGCTTTTCGATGTAAGAAACTGTCCTTCCGATTACACCACGAAGGCACGCGGAAAGTAGGGAGAAAATGCATTATACATTTCCCCTGGATCAGGGGACCCTAATCGCCAAATTCTGGTGGTGAGGGATTATGTTACACCACCTTTTTTAGTTCGGAATCCACTTTTAGAATCATTAGCTTTTTCAATGCAGGAAACTGAAGAAATCCCCAATGCCTTTCCCGGGATTCGATCTCCGGTTCTCTCGATTATGAGTCAGATGTACTTCCAGTTACACCACGAAGGAACGGGGAAAAGAGGGAGAAAACAACTTATACAGTTAGAAAATATTACATTTATAAGTTTTAGGCTAAAGGAAATAAGTAGTTTATTATGATTCAGTAAGAGTTATGGGAGGGGGAATCTTTAAGACAAAAATTGCCTTTCATACTTACTCTGAATTCCTCTGCAAAGCATTTACAGATTGATTTTCCGGAAATATAAATAAATAGCTTGAATATTAGTGTTACACGACATAATATTTTCTTTAACATACCTGGAAATGCCCTTATTATATTTTTCATAAAGAAGTTATGAACATCAAAAGAAAATTAATCTTGGTAAAATAAAGTTTTCTTGATAGTTAAATTTTAAAAGAAACTTCTAAAATAAATTTAAACACAGCAAATCGTAACCAAAGAATCAACTAAAAGTTTTATTTTGAGTATACAAAATAATGACATACGTTTTCCTTGTGAAAGAACGCTGTGAAATCACTGTACGTAATCTCTGTACATATTTCTGTACCCACCTATATTTAGATGTAGATAGAAAGGAAAAGGAAGAAAAAAAAATGGAATGGAATGAGTAAGTTCAGCCAGCTTCATGCTCAAAATAAAATTGACGGGGCCGTGGAATTTTTTTTTTTTTTTTTTTTTTTTTTTTTTTTTTGATATGGAACGTGTAAATTTATTATAAGCTGTTAACATTTAAGGTTCAATGAATTTAATTTTAATTAGCAGTCTCTTCGAGTATTCATTCCAGTGACTTAATTTTAATTAATTAAAATTTTTTTTTTACCTTTTTGGAGAAATGCAAAGGTGGAGATTACTTTAGATTTTGTATATTTTCAAATTAAAGTAGAAAAGTTTAAACTTAATTTTGAAACTGATGTTCTTATCGCCTAATTAAATAACACGATGTCTATTTAATGTTACCCTTCTATTTTAAAACCGTGTAGAATAAAAATATATACTTAAACTACTTTTGAAATAACAGTTTATTACTAATTATTGTTATTTATTATTAACTCGTAATGTCAATTATTTGTAATCATAAAGAGAGATTACTTTGTTTATTTATTTAGAGAAATTATTAGTGAAAATAATATGTTAATTAATAAATTAGAAAATTTGGCATAATAAAGTATTCAACAGAAAAAAATATTTTGTGTTCGAAAATGATATTACGTGAATTGTAAATATACAACATAATTAAATAGTTCATTTTTAATTAGCTGAAGAATTTAAGCTGATACGACATACAAACTCACCATTTAACCAAATCAGCGCCAGAATAGGCACATAGAGGAAATAGTTCCTGATATCCATAGGAATTTCAGGGTCTTTTTAGCGGAAACTCCTCCACTGTTATCAAGACGCCGACTGTCGACGATTGGCACAAACACAGTTTCCGCTGTTCTTCAGCTCGAATATAAAATTTCATTCTCTCCAAAGAATTACATTTCATTTTGTGGCAGATGGAAAATTTAACCGATATCTACCAATCATAGGAAAATAAAAATAGAAGTGCTCCTTGTAAGTTGTTTTTATTTATTTAGGTAATCGAAGATCTCGCGAAACTATGCTCGACATTGTCATAAAGCAAATTAGCATTCTGCGTCTAACGAAGTTCGATTTATGTGTTTCCTGCTTCACCTTTTCTTTCGAATGATATGAAACTTGATATTTGCATTACTATTTTTCTAGCAATTTATTACAATTGTTTCTATTATTTATGTAAGCGTATTTTCGACATGCCAGCTTTTAAATGCTTTTTTTTAATCATCATACAAAGAAATTTACAGTTCAGGTACCCTGCAGCTGGACTGCTATGTAGTAATTAATTTAAATCCTATGAAATTCATATAATTTAAAAAAAAGGCATTTCAAAATATAATTAATTATTGTTTTCCCAATGGCAGGCACTAGCCATTTATAAGCGTTAACCACTTCTAAGCCTGGAAACGGTGGTCACTTTATATTACGGAGGTACCTAATAGGAGGAGGTATCTAATAGGAGGTATCTAATTACCTCTTGTGAACGGACAGACAATTTACATCCATGCCTTCTCCGGGAGTCAAGACCGTTTCCTCTGGTACGGCTGTCAAAGTCACCGACCGCTTTTCCCTCTGAGCGGCATACAATTAAATCTATACAGGCATTTTTCTTCTATAATATTTTAAATTTTCATTGTAGTTTAATAGTTGGCAAAATTCAGTATCAATATGATGTTCATTTAGATAAAAATAATCTGATGTGTACACCACATGACTTCCTTGTACGGAATATTAAATTATACGCATTTTTTCTTGCATTTCATTTAAACTTATTAGATTGAATTAAACCTACTTCGCCGACACCGCATAAACCACAATAGAATAAATGCATTCTTTAAAATTCACTTTGTTTACCATAGCGACACTCTGGCGCTAGGTTCACTTAACAGTATTATACTTCGTTCATATTATAACTCAGAAAGCACAAAATTTATATCATTTAAAGAATTATCTAATCGTTGCCGCATGTTCTATTCAAATACTATAACAAAGCTAGAACGAATTATAAAAGAAATTAAGCAAACAAAACAAAAAAGAAATAGTTTTTCACAGACGATTGAGTATTTCTCATTCAATTAATTCAGTTTTCACTTCGCGACAAGGCAAAAATACGTAAAAACTCAAAATATCTGTATTAAAAATTACGAAGTAAATCTTAAACGCTTATTTCCTCGAAAAAATTGCAGAAAGGATTAATCATGATTTAAATAATAAATGAAGGCGTTATCTTTGCTGTTGCGAAGCTAAGTTTCTCTAGATTGGCAACAAATCCGCTATCCTACTGTTTCAAATGTAAACAAGAGCAGTGCCGCCATAAAAAACATTATTAGGCTTAGCAGCACTTAAACAATTTTTAAATTGTTGACGACAATTGTTCGCGACAAGACAAAAATACATAAAAACTCAAACTATCTGTATTAAAAATTACGAAGTAAATCTTAAATACTTATTTCCTCGAAAAAATTCCAGAAAGGATTAAGCATGATTTAATTCGCAATAATAAATGAAGGCGTTATTTTTGTGTTGCGTAGCTTAGTGTCTCTAGATTGGCAACAAATCTACAATTCTGCTGTTTCAAATGTAAACAAATATGTCCGCCATGTTATTTAAAACTTAACCGCACTTAAACAGCTTTTCAGTTGTTCATAATTGTACAATTATTGCTTCCAGAATTACGAAAGGCATAAAAACTTTAACCGGAAGATAAAAACAACATAATTCAATCATTTTTAAAGCAAAAAATGTACAATTTACAAACATATAAGAGTAAAGAAACTGAGATCACTGAGCCGGGTACAGAGTGGATATATTTATAAATATATTTATATACGTTTGGCGCGGCCGATTGAAACCAAAATACGAGGTGCACATCTACATGTTATAGTAATCATATATACAAAATTTCAACGTTCTGAGGCTACTCGTTTTTGAGTTATGCAAGATACGTATGTAGTTACATACGTTCGTACAGACGCCACGAAAAATTCTTTTCAGAATTCATTTTAAAGCTGTTTTATAATTTTTTTGGTGGAAAAGAGTGTTTTATTCTGTCCTTACGTACATATATCACGGAAATACATCGTTAAATTGCATTTGAAAGAGGTCAAAATGGGATATTTTCGTTGAAATATGCTGCCTGAAACTTTTCGCGATTATAATACTTCCTTTTTACTTCGTATAAGGCTAATAATAAAAAGGCTAAATACTGTCATTCGTTTACTATTTAATACACTTTTTTTAGAAAAAAATAAATGGGCGGAAAAAAGTATATTGAACACTACCGAAGAATGTTTTTTGTTGAAAATTAGATCAGCTAATGCGTGTGATTTGTAGTTTAAAGTTTCAAAAAGCATTCAGAATGAAAATTTGAAATAGATTTTTATATAACTGAATTTGTGTGAATAAAATTTTAAACATGAATTATAGAGTTAGCTAGTATATAAATTATATGTGTGTTACAGTTACTTCAAATACAGCGCATATATTTTTCGAAGACTTAATATTAATACCTTAAGACTGGTGTAGTCATTTTAGTCTACATAATATGATTACTGTTACGGAATATTTACTGAAAAACTCAGTTTCAACTATGTTTTCTGTGTTTTGCTATTCGTTATTTCGATACAGACACAGCAGAAAACTGAAATATTGTTTTTTCTCCTATATTTCTGTTTAACTAATATCACAATCTACTATAATCTAATTCACAATCTATTCTATAATTCACTCGTACTCTAGCTTCTTTCCACCACGGAAACCACGGAGCACATAATGCCACGGTGCTACGGACCACAGCATAGGTCCATCTAACAAGTGCAGCACCGCAGTGGAACAGCTAAGTTGGGAAATGTAAATGACGCGTATAAAACCTATAGAATGTTCTCATATCGAATTCATAAATAACATAGGTACACATTTTGAGCACCATAATCACTTAATAAATAACAATTTAGCTGGAAAAGTGATCCAGTTGTTCATTGCACATCTTTTCAAATCATGTAATCTAACCAGACAGGATCACCTTCATTAAGATTCGCTAAACTTGACCACTTATTAGAGATTCTAATTTTTTACTAGCCGAAGTATCGATCACATTCGAGTTTCCAGACTTCATCTTCCATAAAGTGAAACTGTAAGTTAATTGTACAATGTTCGTTAATTGTACCTTAATCGCAGTGGCGTAAATAAGGGTATGCAAGGAATGCAGACGCATAGGGGCCCGAAGGCTTAGGGGGCCCATGAATGTCCTGCTGAACCACATTTACATATTTAAACTTAGAACACGTATAAAAATCACGTATTCCAGTAATTTAGTGTACCAAAAAGTTTTCTTAAAAGAAAGGGGGAAAACTTTACCATACTTATTTTCTACAAAAAATTTTGTATGTTCAAATACAGTGGATTGACAAAAATATGGAAACACCTTGTGAAATGCATGTTTGAAAAGAAAGATTGATTTTAATGAAATATGTAGGTGGCGCTGGCGTATTTGACTACTGACGCCACCTATACAACTTCGTAAATGTGCTAAAGAGTTCAGATGTTGTCGGAGTACTGTTATGTGAGGTTGCCATTGCATTATGTCAGAGTTAACAGACTTCGAACGTGGGCAAATTGTTGGAGCACGTATGGTAGGTGCTTCCGTAAGCAAGGTAGCCGAGGTGTTTAGTGTTTCAAGAGGTACTGTATCGAAGATTTATTCCGCATATTTGAAAAGCGGAAAAACATCTGCTAAATCACAGCGCGGACGAAAGTGTGTCCTGAGTGATCGTGACAGACGATCATTAAGGGCAATTGTGACGAAAAAAAAATAAGAAGACTACAGCTGCAAAATTTACTGTTGAAATGAATGTTGTGTTACCGAACCCTGTGAGTACCAAAACAATTAGAAGGGAGCTTCTTAAACAGGGAATTGCTGGCAGTGCTGCAATTGAGAAGCTACTCATCGGTGATGCTAATGCCCGTAACAGGAAAAGGTGGTGTTTAGGTCATAAAGCCTGGACTATAGAGCAGTGGAAGCGAATAATATGGTCTGACGAGTCTTCTTTCACATTGTTTCCCACTTCTGGCCGAGTTTACGTCTGGAGAACGCCATCTCAAGCCTATAATACAGACTGCTTGTTGCCAAGAGTGAAACATGGCGGGGCTTCTGTTATGGTTTGGGCAGCCATATCGTGGTTCTCTGCTAGCCCTATGATAACTGTGTCAGGGCACATGACTGCCAAGACCTATGTGAACATTTTGGCCGATCATCCCATGGTACAAACTTTGTTCCTCGATGGTGATGGTGTCTTCCAAGACGACAAAGCCCCTGTTCACACAGCTCACATTGTCCAGGACTGGTTCTCTGAGCACGAGGATGAGTTGTCCCATCTTCCCTGGACACCACAGTCACCAGACCTGAATATTATCGAACCTTTGTGGTCTACATTGGAACGGAAAGTGCGTTCTCGTTATCCACCGCCAACATCGTTATCTGAACTTACCACCGTTTTGCATGGTATAATATTCCCTTGGCAAACATACAGGAACTGTATTTATCCATTCTGAGAAGACTGCAAGCTATTTTGGATGCCAACGGGTTTCCTACACCATATTAAGCAAAGAAACATGTTTTTTTAAAGGTATTTCCATATTTTTGTCCAACCCCTGTAGTTTTCTTTATGAAATTTATGATAAATATGTTTTTTATATTTAACAAATGTATCATTTACGTTATAAAAGTTCTTATTTATGACTTGTATATTATTGCATAAGTCATGTTCATAAGATCAGCTCATCACAGAGCGCTATATATTAGTGTAATTTCTTTTTTGTACATTTACCTATCATGTTGTCTGTCAGTTTATAACATAACCAGTTATTTACTAGCTTGCTAAATTAAGCGAAAAAAACTTGGATTGGCACATATTTTATATAGAAACTCGAAATATACTTGCATGTAAAACCTACTGGATTTTATTTAAAAATCTCCGCAAATTTAGATTCCCCCCTCTTTTTTAAGCACAGTAAATTTATTGGGGGTGGGGGCAGGAAAATGTTTTGCACAGGGGCCCAAAAGTTCTAGCTATGCCACTGCTTAATCGTTTCAAAACGTTTATGATCCTCAAATAAAATAAACGTCATTTCAGTGAAAATACTAGATTATTTGGCGAAACCACGTAAAGCAAACGCTGTGCCCAACTGGAAACCAAACTGAAACAAAGAAGGGAGTAAAAAAGGCTTTTATTTAAAACTAAGAAGAACAGAATACACACTTGGTGTTTACAACTCAGCCAACTGCTTGTGGCGAGATAACTTAAAATAAGAGTAAAATTTAATTTGAATAAGCTAGTAGGCAAAGACTGCACAGATCACGCAAAGCTGGCTCAAAACTTAACCGGTGTGGATATTCAACTACCCGCAGTTATAAAGCAAGATCGAAGAGTACAAATATAATCTTATCTAGCAGCTTAGTAGCGCGGCCTGGAGAGCCAGAACACGCCCTGTCTTACGATTCGAAAACCTCATCTTCAATACACGCAAACTAATTTGCATTCTCTTGGGAAAACGGAAGGAAGAAGTGCCGATAAAGATCTAAAACATAAAATAACTTAATTAACGTGGAGAAACCTTACAGGTGATTAGCCCTGTAATTGATCAGATCTTTCGAGATAGTGTGCTTCTGCATGATTCAAAAACCTCATCTTAAATACACGCAAACTAATTTGAGTGTGTGTAGGTTAGGTTAGGTTATTCAATTACGGCAAAGCCTCGAGGGCTATCTGCCTAAGGGGAGGGATGCCTTCGTGGAGGACTTTCTAAGGGAAACTGACTCGTATACACGTTACACATGGGGAAAGCCACGAAAACGTCCATGCTGCCAGCCCGTTCGCGGGATTCGAACCTCAGACCGAACTACCAGTGTTCAGCGACTTTACCGCTCGGCCGCTGGTGGGCGCAAACTAATTTGTATTCTCTTGAAAAAAGAAACGTAAGGAAGAAGTGACAATAAAGATCCAAAACATAAAATAACTGTTAATTAACGTGTAGAAACCTTACAGGTGATTAGGACTGTAATTGATCAGATCTTTCGAGATAGTGTACTTATGCATATTGTAATTATTGAAGTTCATTTTCATGAAAAATAAATGCATTGTTGTTATTCACTTTCAGATATATATTTTATAAAGTTTCTCTTCAGGAGGAAAAAAAAAAGGCAGCTGTAAAGAAACATTTTCAGAAAACAAAGGAAGGAGAAAAAATATAAGTTCATATAAATAAGTTTAAAAAACCTTAACTGGGGAAGTTACAACATGTTTAGCAATATTGTTTTTTGTTATAATAAAGTTTAGACAGTCAAGAGTTTCGTTGAAATCTTTTCTTCCTTTTCAATAAATTAAGAGTTGGTAATTAATCAAATATGTAGATCCCTGTTTACTTTGGTAAGTTCTAGGTGTTTTTAATTTTTCTAGGTCGTCAGTCTCAGTTTTGCTCTTCTTTTACATGTTAAGCAAAACTCAGTCTAGTAGTTTCTCAATGAATTTCATTCACAAAGAACACTATGTAAGAAATTTTATGTCGAAATGTATTTTAATCGCCAAAGAGGGCGTAAATCTTTCATGATGTATACCTCTCGTTCTTGGATCTGGCAGTGCCAGTTGAATGCGTGTTAGAATTGAATAAACTTGGAAGTTTAAAAACTTGATTTGTAATGTTCTTTTACCTTGGTGATTTGTGTAATTTGAATTAGTGTTTCTTGAATCAGGATAACTTGAAATCTTGACTGTTATTATAATATTTTATAAACTATGAATGTTAAAAGGATAACAACGTATTCACAGCTTTTTTAGTTATTTCCTTAGTTTACAGTTGCGGTGGGGAGTTTATTGACTTGGTGCTTATGATTGCATCGGCGCTACCTGAGGTTGAAAGGGGGAAAGCATGATTTTTGCAATTATTATTGGAAGAGTAACTGGTTAAAATTGTTGACATTTATTTTGGATTTAATTTTGAAATTCTTTAATCAGATTTTATTTGCACCGCAGTAAAATAAAAGCATTTTGTTGTCGACACACTCACAAAAATTATAATTTACCATTGACAGGGGACTTATTTTAAAATTATAATAACCACTGATATACTGAAAATATACGATAAAAATAAATGAACTTTACTATACAATTCAAGTCGTTTTTATGATTTTAAATGATAAAAATTATCTGCTCTTTTGAAACTGAAAATAATTTCCGGTCATCGTGTTTAATGTTTCGAGTTCGGTATTTTGTACGCTGAGTAATAATCCTAGTAATTTTAAAATTCAATATATAAATAAGGTAGGATTCGAACTGCGCGAAATTTAATTGAAGACCCCCCCTTTTATCTAATCCACGAATTGCGGCAATTTCCTGTCCAACCTGAATTCCCAAGAAAATGGGTGCTACAAAAAGTCATTTACCGCCATTAACGGGGCATTTTATTGAAACTACAAGCCTCTACTTTCGTTTATCAGATATTGTAAAAATTGAGGACACAAAAATATTAATTTAAAATCTGGCGTGTGCTAAAGTAAAAATGAATTTCTTTTACACTCATTTTAAAGTTTTATGATGCTTAAAAGAATAATGAGCCAGATCTTTTTTATTCTCTATAAAAATTACAAATTATCCAAGTTGTAGATATTAGCTGCTGATATATATGTAATAATAAAATTCCATAGTCAAGAATACACTTAACATTCTAACTGTATGTTCTTTTTCATTTTTAATGGTGACGTTCTCTTATTTGAAAGTACGTGGAATTAAATTCACAGCCCCGTAGTCAAGTTGTTTTTCCCGCCTTTTCTACACGTACAGTTATAGAATGTTCTGGAGATATTTAAAGCGAACTGGATTAGCTGACGTCATTTCTTGGAAGCTCCGCCTTTCCAGAGTCTGTAAAAGGAATCGCAAAAGAATATCGGGGGCTTTTTCTTAAATGTCACGATGCAGTAAACTTCATACAAATGGTTATTAGTAATTCTTTTTTATTTACTCCGGAGATCAGATTTTTGTAATTGCTATTTCCCCTGAAACATAATAAATGGATCCTGTTTTTTAAACTTATCGTTTGATAATTTAAGCTACGACTACATCTATGATTCTTCAACAATCTATTTATTCTGGACAAAAGTTGGTACATCATATATATATATATATCAGTTTTTAATAATAAAATTGATAGATTAATGACATTCATAAAACTGATACATAATCAACCTATCTAATATCGGATTTGTAGCGTACCTTAAACAAGTTTTCTTGTCTAGATAAATATTAACAAAACTTCTTAGATATTAGAATGGTTTTAACTTTCAAATTTACCATTTTAGGTAAACAGTTCTAATTTAATTAAAAAAATTCTCTTTATTAAATCTAAAAATTGGATTTATTAAGTGGTTTTAAATCACAGTTATATTATTGCAATATATGTCTTATCAAGCTTTCCATTTTCAATCACTGAAGTTATTTTAAAAATATTTAACTAAAATTCTATATTTTAATATTAGAACTTTTAAATATTTATTTTGGTTTCCAGTTACTCTACCTGATGTACTTTGGCATACATTTAGTTAATAAATTGATAATTATGAGCATCTGCAGAATTTTCATAATTAACAGAAAAAATTCAAACTCCCTTATATTCATACCTTGGGATTTTCAGTTCCCTTTTAACCCATTCGTTTTTCACATACTGTCACATTATATTCAAATTTTCATGTAAGTAGAATTTATATATTTTTATTGTATTTATGCCAATTTATATTTAAATGATAATTTTTATAAATTCTTGCATCATAACTCTAGTTAACAGAAGATGTTTCTAACACCTTGGTAAAGATTAATCTTCAGCATGCAGCCTATTTTCCAATCTAGTTTTAGGCTGAATTATTTGTAAAATTAATTATTTGAAATTATTTGTAAAGAAAGATGGTTCCTAAATTACGCTAATAATATTTCTAACTATAATTTATAATACAACGAGTTCATGTGATTTATAATATAATTCATTTATAATTTTTTCAGCCAGAATTGAAATTAACAGCAGATATTGATAATGCTATACATTTAGACTACAATGATTTACATTATCATTGCCTTCTTCGTTGATACTTTTATGCTACATTTCTATTACTTCATAATGGCATACAGATAAGTTTAAATCAATCACCAAACATGTGAGCCTAGAATTCAGCCCACTTTTGTTCTTACATGTTAACTGTGTATCTTCTGTTTTCTTTAATATGTTGTTCAGCCTAATTTAAAAAAATCTTACGATCAAGTGGAAAGGTCACTAAACATTGGTAGTTCGACCCAAGTTTCTAATCCCGGAGATACCCCAGCTCTTTCTTATAGTGTACATATTTACTGTTCGAAAATGTATTGTGAACATTTCAGTTCATGAAGTAAAAATAGTTTTAAAATTTATTCTTTAAAAATACTGAAAAATTTTTCACCTTTACCTTAGCATATCTTTTTACAAATAAGAAAAAATAAGCAAAGAAATTAACTCTTTCTGTGATTGATATCTCACTTCAAATTATATGTAACTTTTTCCAACAGCATAGAGTTTATATGGATATCAATAAATTATGGATTATTTCTCTAAATTTCTTAACATATTTATTCCAGAATTTTCATTCACACTGTAACGTTTAACTTTACGAGTTTTCTATAATCATTCAGTTTCTCTAGCTATGACACTATGCATACCTTCTGAAAAGTAGTCATATTTTCAACCATTTAACTCCTGTTGATTATCAGTACATTATTCACTTGTTTCAAAAGTGAAACTTTTATTTTATGCACAAATCTACGTAAAATAGCAATAAAACTTCTGTTATGTGGAGCTCCTAATCGATTGCTTGTTTTAGGCTGATTGAAATTAAGCTTAAAGTTGCTGTTAATTAGCATGTTATTAATTTAATTATACGTTTCTAATTAATTATATGTTCAGATATTTCCAAGTAGATTACACTAACTTTTGCATCCCAATTTTTAATTTTTGGTTAAAAACAATAAGATGTTATTTATTGAGAGGCCTGATTGATTATATTAATTTGCAGTACTGTTTACCTAATTCTTTTATTCTAGATAAATTTTAGAAAAATCTTCTTAGCATAATAATTTAAATTTATTTAAAATTTATACGTCAGTATTCCAAACTCATAGTAATGTTGTTATAATAGATTTCATGCTAAGTTTTTTTAAAAAATTTAACTATTAATTTCTGCAAACACTTACATGATTACTTTAATTAACAAAAATATTTCTAGCATACTTTAACACATTTTGATATGGAATAATCTTTTGCACGCCAATTTAATTAAATTTTCCGTAATTTATAAAAAATATAATTGGTATGCTTTATAATTATATAATTTATGATATTATTATAATATTCTTTGCTCTAATGTAATTAATGAAAGATGTTTGTAATGCTAATATGTATATGTTTACTAATACCTTTTATTTTCATTGTTAGCGCTCGCATTTATTATTGTTATTCAAGTAATTAGTCTGCTTCTTAGATATTCTTTACTTGTTCTTGTGATACGTAATACTATTTCTTTATTTTTATTTTCCTCTTGGCTACAATTGGCTTCGAAAAGTAAAATTGTAACCCTGTAGTTCTCCGGCAGGAAACGGGGAAAGAAATTTTGATTCGCGCAGTTGGATTGGATTAGATTATTAAATTATGGCAAAGCACACAAGGGCTATCTGCCTAAAGGCAGAGATGCCTTCATGGAGGACTTTCTAAGGGAAACTGGCTCGTATGTACGTTACACATGGGGAAAACCACGAAAACGCCCATGCAGCCAGCCCGTTCGCGGGTTTCAAACCTCGGACCGAATTACCAGTGTTCAGCGTCTTTACCGCTCGGCCGCTGGTGGGCAATTCGCGTAGTTGGAGCACACCCATAAATAATATACAACTAATTTACTCATTGCAAACCAAAATTAAATCCTTTATCAACGACCATGAAATGTTTGATAAAAATTAAAAGAAGAGGATACTGAGCTGCTCATATTAGCCTTTTGATGTATTTTTGTATCAAAATACTTTAATTTTAGGTGTACCGATTACATGCAACTAAAAGTGAAGCATAAAATCTTTAAGTTTTAACCATTAGGTAGCCCATCGTTTCAGGATGAATATGGATTGCTATTTAGATTAATCAGATATTCCTTTTTTGAATTAAATTCATTTAAATATGCAGTTGCTGATAGATTAGAAGATGAGTAAAGTTTTTTTTGGTGTCCTTTTAGTTGCCTTCATATGTTGAGGAGTAAACACATACAGGCATATATGCAATGAAATAGTA